GTAAAATCTAATGAATAATAATAATAATAATAATAAAATGAAATAAAAGAGAAAAATTCTGCTGACATCTACCAATTCTATCCGCGTGTTTACGAAAGAGTTCAACGTGTCAGTGACTTATTGATCGTAAAGACAAACTGTGTGTGCACGGAGGTTACATACTTACCGACTTCACAACTTGTGGCAACTCTCCATGCTCTTTAGATACTCTTTCATTTATAAAATTTATTTACACTAAGAGTTTGCAAGAATCTTGACATTTTATCGTATAATATTTTAGACTTTCAAAGGAATGCTGTTGGCAAACTTTAGGGATGCGAATGTCTGAGATGCTTCCTTTTAAGTGCATAAAATACTTGTCTACTTGGCATTTTTTGCAGAAAGATATGCATCTCTCGTAACTAAATGTAATTTTAAGAAAAATATATTTTATTTCCCCGTTGCTTATTTTAACTTTATAGTTAAGAACATGCATAAATTTTAATTTTAGAGTATGAATACAGTTTTTGAATAATTCTATTGGGACATCATAAAATATTTTTATGTCTTTATAAAAGATCGATTAAGAAAGTTTTTAATAGTTATTTTTCAATGAATTATTTTTAACTGTGACTTATTTACATGTAACTCTCAAGTAAGTACATTTTTATCAATATAAATTATTTATTGTATACAAACGCAGCGAAGAATACTTCAAGCAACAAAATAGGATTGGCAGAAGGCCGAAGGAGGGGCACGAATCTCGTGTAACAAGGTAAACAGATCACGACGAGCGGCCAACTTCGCCAAAGTAAAGGATAAAAAAAAAGACCGCAATACAGTATAGTACGGAGGAAAGGGCTTTTGGAGAAAAAAAAAAGGTCAAAGTATGGTAGAGGAGAAACAGCGAGACAACGAGGTGGAAGAGAGAGAAAGGGAGAATTTCGACGCCGAGGAGGACGGCCTTGTTCATTTGAAGTTTAATTTGATTCGCACCATAATGGGAGCTGTTAGGCGAGTACGTGTATGTGCGCGAGAGACACTCGTTTTACTGAATGGGATATAAGAAAAGCTGGTAGTGGCTTAAAATTTGCATGAAGGCTCTTAATGGACTACACCTTTTAAATTGTTTTTCCTTTAAAATCCACACGTACGAATGATATTTAATGAGATAACTGTTAACAGTCGAACGTTATAATATGTTTCGCGGTAACTAGAAGGCAACTGTTTATTACTTTATTGACTTTTTTCTGTTGGATAAATATTTTTCAAATGTTATGGACTAAATTCATAAATTTTAGATAAATTTAGCACAAAAAACGCGAACGCAAAAACAATCGTCTCTCGTCACGGAGGTCAAAAGAGCATGGATACTTTTTTGTAATCATCCAAAGGGAGACAGGGTCCTCTTTATTGTCGCTGCGACAGGGGCTGAAAACTTTCTAGATTCTGTAAGTATATATAAGTATATATATAGTGAAAAGACAGACGTGGCACTGTATAATGCACGCACGCGCACATTCAACGTAGTTGTGTAGCTGTGAGTCTAAAAAGTTTGGCCACCCCGACGCTGCTGTGAAAACTTCCGGCTATCAAACTAAAAGGCTTTTATCGCAAATAAAATCTTTCGGGGCACAATGGCGCGCGTTTTCTCGCGCTTATTTTGCTGATTTTACCGGTAATTCATTTTTGCTTTGTACTCGCATTATATTAGTTGGATTGTTTTGAAAAAATAGGTTTTGCTGTTTCCAAGTGAGAATTTATTTGCTGTTAGCCTTGGTGTATTGTATTAACACATATGATTACTTTTCTCAACAACCTGTTGTCAAAATGTTTTTCTTCAAAATATAATGCATTATCTGATTTGATAATTTTCTAGCAAAACTAAGGCGTTGCGTCATAAAAAGGAAGAAAAATTCACGAATGATAAATATTTATATACTTTAATTTTTATTAAAATGATTTATAATAAATTTTATTATTTTTAATAATGTATCGTAAGATTTTTTCCTGGATAAATTTTAGTCCAGTATTTATACATTTCCAAACGGGACCGATGAAAGAAAAATTTTCCAGCTTAAACGAGTCATTACATTTTCGAAGAAACACGTAATTTCCAAACACACTTAAGAATCAGTTAATTCAGACTTTATCGTTAATTTCGTATTTATTATTTTGTTTCTGTGACTCATTTTGTACACGGATTTGCATCATACCCTTGGATTAACAGCGAATTTTGCTTGAAAAAAGGGACGAAACGAAAACCTATAGTTCTCTTTGAGTATTAAAAACTAGCCAATTAGACCGAAATAACGTCCCCTGCGATCCCCTGAACATTTGCACAGTCGCGTTTCGAGCCAAACGAGCAAAAACGAGAGGAGGCAAATCGAGCCTCGTTAGAGCAGAAAGGAAGAGGACTCATAAATGGGATTTTTCCAGACTCGCGGAAAACTCGGGCGAGCGAATCGTCGCGCAATAAACGAGGGAAAAAAAAAAGACTTTGGGAGTCCGAAGGTTGTTCTTATATACCCTTATCTCTTCGGGTACGCGCCGTTGCCGAGGCAACTTGGAAAGCGCAGGAACGGATCCACGGAGTGGAGGAACTGCTGCGCTTTGTCTCTGCGAGCTTTGGACCGATGGTGGGATTGAGAAAACCAGGAACGGCAGGAAAGACGGCACAGTGTATGCTCCCTTGCTGTTGAGAGTTTAGTGATGGTAACGCAGGAATGGTGCTTATTGTACACAGCAGTTTTTGCCAATCTCTGTCCTGCCAATACAAGAGCAGCGTTTTGGTAAAATTATACTAGTTTCAATGCATTGCGGTATAATGGTGACTTGGATTTTTTATCATTGTTTACGGACGACTAAATATAAATAAATAAATAAATTTTATTCAACTAGCATCAAAAAACTAAACAAGCAAACTTTACACGATTCAATTTGAATCTACCAGCAGAAGAAAACACACAAGAAGCAGCAGACAAGATTGGTTTTCTCGTAGTTTCTCAAAGTCAAATTAATAAACTTCCGAAAAGTTGAAGGGTCATAAATCAACCGGCTCGAGAGCAAAGTTGAGCTCGAGGGAAAAAGAAAAAAAAACAAAAAAAAACCACCCGGGAAGAGCAAAAAGCATTTTCAATGAAACATCGATTTCCCCAGTGATTTTCTTTTTCTCTTCGCCGAAATATGTTGCTCTTCGTCGATAGAACGCAGTAGTCGAACAACCATTTTAAAAAAGATCGTATGCACAAAAAACTTAATTCACTTTCCAAAAAGATACTTTACGTACCTGTTTTTTTGCGGAATAAAATTAAAATCACACAAATGCGCAAACACGATTCGATTGCGGGGGCATTGTTGTCGAATAGTTCGCGAGTGATCGGGTATTTCCGATCGGAAGTTAAAGAGAAACTACAGCAGCGCGACGATTCCCTACGGTCGAGCGAATAGCAACGGTGGATCTGCTGCATTCTTCATTGATTTCCGAAATTTAATCGGAGCTGCGTGTACCAATCTGCGGCTCGTGGGCTGAGCGTGGGATCATCATTTTACCGAGGAAATCGCGGTCTAAACTGATTTTCGATAGCATCCGAGTGGGGCAAGATACTAGCAATATAATAATCACAAGATTCGTTTAATCTATAAAGACTTGTGGGTATCAGTACAACAATTTTTTTCCTTAAAATATAATTTATCATTTCAATGGGAAATTTTTGAGCTATTACTAATTACAACACGGTACTTGAATAATTTTTTTCTAAAAAAAAACAATGCAATTTTTTTTTAAAGCAGAAAATTTTGAAGCAAAAAGTCTCGTGGTATTTTCTTCAAATAATTTATCAGTACTTTCTTTTGCTGATTACATATCGATTGAGCAAAGTATTTCAAGTAGTAATTGAAAAAAATTTTTTTTTCCCACAGGTTAAAAAAAATCATCGTGCCCAAGTCCGAACCTATCGTCAAAAAGTTTTCATACCGAGAGTAAAGTTTTGTGCTTCTCGAAGTCTTAATTTGATGAGTTGTAGCCTTTTTTTTACCCCTGATTCAACTAAAAAGTACCTAATTACGAGAAGAGTTTTATCTTGGTTTTACTTTTAATTGAATTTGCTTTAAAGAAAAAGTGCGGCTGCGGTAGGTTTATTCCAACACAAACGTGCAAAGTAGCCTTTACATAGCACACATTTGGATTAAATTTGTGCAACCCCATTTTTTTTTTTTTTTTTTTTTTCACTGACACAACATCTTTTTCCATTGTAACTTTCGAACCATCGATGATAATTCGAGGGAAAAAAGTTAAACCCCAATAGAGTTAATTCAAAAACTCGT